TGTGTGTATATATATATATATATATATATATACACACACACACACACATACATACATACATACACATCTTCATAGTGCTTTATAGCCCTCTCTAAGCAGTTTACAGAATCACCATATTTCCGCCAACAATTTGGATCTTCACTTTATCGATCTTGGAAGGATGAAAGGCTGAGTCAACTTTGAGCCCAGTCAAGATCAAACTCTAGGGGGTAGCCAGAGTGAGCCTGCAGTACTGCATTCTAACCACTGTGCCACCATGGCTCTTGTTGAATAGCTGACAGTTAGACCCACTGATTCAAATTAGAACTATGATTAATTTGAAAAAGGTTAATCTAGATTCAGTCCAATGTGTCATTTTATTATCTTTTCTGGGGGCAGCATCTCCACTAATTTTTATCTTTAGTATTGGCAATAGCTTCTCTTTTATCTTAATATGCAGTTATCATAAAAGGTGTCAGAATGATAGCACTAGCAAGAAGAAATCAACACTTAAAATGCCCCAGATGTAACATATTGCGTTCTGGAAAATAAAAGCATTATAGCATTATAGAAGATTATAGAAAATTACATTGGAGCCATTTTTTGCAATGCAAACTATATCTGAGGCATTTGAATAAAAGTGGCTATCCTCAAAATAATAGGATAGATGTGCTGAACCTATAAAAGTAACTACAAACTGAATTATTTCTTGCTACTACATAATGTTACTACCCTACAAATAACTTGGCTGTAAATTTTGCAACTTCTACCCTTTGATTTAAGGAGATTATGGAAGATTAATTGTCATGATTGAGTACTTGTTAAGAAAGACACCAAATTTCATCTCAGTTCAGTCTTGTCTTTTAGTCTTTCATCTTAGAATTTTCTTTTCGGAAGCTAAACAGGCCAACAATGTGGCAATGTTGCCATTATTAAAAATGAGAGGAACAGCAAAAATGCATACTCATAAGACTGGTCTTGTAACTCCTTACTTATAGCCATGCTTATCCTCAAGAAAGAAAGTGAAAAAAATACATTTTACACAAATCACAGCTGTAGTTAATATAAAGAAAGTCAAGATGTATCGTAAAAATCTTACCTCACTGATATTCAAAGCATTTTGCTTAGCTTGTGAGATCTCAGGAAGTTCTGCTATTTGGGTATAATTATGTTTGACATTCTCTCCATGTTCTTTATAAAGCCTCTGCAAAATTCAGAAAATACTTTGAGGGGCATCATTACATGTTTTTGTGCATAGTAGCCCCGCCATCCTCCCCCAAATAAATCCTTATCAAATTAATTCAAGAACTATAGCCAATATAAGAATTCATTAGGTATTAAGATTTTTTTGTAACTCTCTTTATTAACTGGAGATTTCAAATCTTAGTTTTGGTTGTGGCATCTAGAGTCAACTCTTTCCAGTTGTGTCACTGAAACCTTTTTGGCAAATTGTGAATAACTTCCTCGGCATACAGCCATACTGTATTTGCTTATCATATACCGGTGGCAAAGTTTATAAAGTGATGATTCACAACAGCAGTAAATGTTTTTTTAAATTTAAATATGACTGCATTCATTAGCTTCTGTCAAAGGATAGCATCCCATTACCTCAATTCACTGTGAACGGGAGAATCAATAAGCTGCTGTCTCATGCTAGAAATTCTTCTCTAAAACACAGCACTTGCAGGACAACGTGCTCTGAAAGACGGAATTATCTCCTGCTGTTTTCTGAGTTTTAAATTCCTTGACGGCAGATTTATTCATTTATAAGCCCCGAGTAAGATAATTATTTTAACTCTTGAATATGAATATAGAATGGTTCCCAAGCTTATTTATTTATCAACTATACATTTCTGCTCAGCTAGTGGTGATAATTTAGAAAAATGCCTCTTCCAAATAATGATTATCTGGTACCTACTGTATTATTTTTCAGTGTGAGATAATAATTATTTCCAAGGCTTTAGATCTTACTGTGCACTTATGATTTAATTTGCTTATTTTACTGCTTTATTTTGCATTATATTAGGATTATTTCTAAATGGACAGCTGTATTTTAAATTTAAAATAAAAGAACATAAATTATTTTTCATCTCCTTGTGTATTTGTCTTTGAGTATATCCATGAATTACCTATTACTTTAAGAAATAATTTGCTGTAAATTCGATGTATCTATGTATATGGCTATATAAGATTGAAGTGATTCGTATTACTAGCATTTATTTATTGTAAAAAAGAGAATTGCTAATAATTATTTCAGTGAGACAAAGAGAAATTCATATTTAAAATGTTTCTTAAGGAGAAAAAAATAAATATTACAACTATGATGCTGATATGGTTGTAAATTGTAAACATATGTTTAATGTACCAAATTGTATGAGTCTGGTTAGGGTTACAAATTTATCTGTCTATATATGAGTGTTCTGCTAGGCTTTTTAGAAGAATAGTAGGTTTCCATTAACACAAGTTTCTCAGTTCCTGAGAATGAGGTCAATGACAGAGAAAACTAGTGCTTCAATCAGATCATTCAAAGAGGCTACCATTTTTATAATCATAATGTATATACATTACAACTTACATCCACAGCCTGGTTATAACTAATTCTAGCCTGGATCATCTCAGGAGTGTCTTTAATACTGGTAAACTTCAAAGCATATGGGTGCTGACGATATTTCTTCTGTTGAGAAAAAAAAAAAGATCAAAGCAGTGAATTTTGTGCTGCTCTTTCATGCTATTTGAAATAAAAAAAATCATAGGTTGCTTGAGATTAGAGTGAATGTGTAAACATAATTATTATTCCTATTTCTTCATGCTTATCACCTAAGAACTTCCAGATTAGAATTAGTTTCCATTTAAAACTAATTTTTACTAGTGTGATCATACAGCATTTCCACTTAAAATTTAAGGAAAACATTTCAAGAGGATTATGTGTAATAAAATACCGAGAATCCCATGAAAAAAAACCTCATGCATTCCCCCAAAGTCTGAAATACAAACTAGCATTATATTTTGGTAAGTCCTTGAAGTAAAACAGCTATTTGAATATAATACTACTTATAATATAATACTACATACTAATGATATTTTGGGCATTATTTGAAATCTGATGATTTAAGTCACAAACATAAATAATAAAAACTGAAGCCAAGTCGAAGAGGCATTTCTGATAGCCTATCTTATTGCTTATGTTACACACAAAAAATGAGATATTTGATCATGTGTTTTTCCTGTATTTGTATACAGATCATTCACTTCAAGGACAATGGATTGTGACATTTACATTAACATCACTTACAGTGTGTCTTTATTGTGCTATCCCACAAGTGAAAAAAATTGGTTCATCACTTTAACTGTTGTAATAAAAATATTTAAAAATATTTTTTTAAAAAATGGTAGACACTTGCTTCAAAAGCTAAAAATATCCTATCACTCAGATGTATAGAATACCATAAGAATTACGTGAAAGACTTATGGTTGCTAGGGACAAAGACTAACAGATATCCAATTTTTAGAAAGGACATTCCTTCAAATTATAATTACAAGCAAAAGTGAAATTTAATTGGTAAAAATCACAGCTTCCAAAACACTGCCATTTCAATGGTGAAAATATTAAAGCTGCAAAATATTTATACCAAGTGCCTGAATATTGCTTGCTTAAAACAATATTGTAAAGACAAAAATATTTTGTTTTGTTTTCTCAGTCAAAAGGTTCAACAACACTAAAACTGCACTAGAAATCTATGACTAAATGTATTTCTGCTATGAATGACCATGCCTGTCATCACACCATCTTTAGTGTGACTGCACAAAAGTACTTTTGAATTCTTAAAACCTTTTAACATACTTGCTAGGTATGCATATTCAAGAATTCAGAATATTTTGTTTGTGAATGGTCTTAGTAGCATTGAGAAGCACCTGTAAACTGTATTTTGTTTTTTGTACTGAAAAAAGTATATGATCGGGAGAGCTTGAGCACTAGTCATATTAGAGTCATAAATATACATGTTAAGCCTTGATGCACTTCATTAATAAAAGGCAAGGTGGAGGGATAGCAATTGTTTGATTGTCATTATTATTCATGATATCACTTGTCACCTCCTTTGCTTTTGGAAAGACTATATGGACTCCCACTGTTTTCTGTTTGGTATCTGGCTTCCTTCTAATTATGACTACAATGCCTGGTTTTGAGAGCCTTTTTCATTTCTCCCCCTTTCAGTGGAATTATTTTAATTTTATACCGACATTTTACATGCATTATGGGGCAGGTATTGCTGCGGCTGTCATGAAATCTCACCTCGCTAATGAGTTCTCCTGCCTTCTGAGCCTGCTTCACATTTAATGACCCAGTGGCGATCCATCCGGCTCCTTTCATCCAGTTCAGATCTGCTCTGTATTGGTTCTGACAAAAGGAAATGAAAATGCTCTATTGTGGCTGCTCACACATTAAAAATGCCACCTAAAGAACTCACACATAAGAACACCAACTGAGCCAAATTAGAGCCTGCTTTTGTTTTATCCACTTCTTTGCAACTGTGGGTAGAAATGTGAAAGGGAGGAGGGTGATTTAGAAAAGAGACCGTGAATGTGCTGTTAGCGAACCTTTTTGCTATGAGGTTAAAAAAAATGCATTCAGAAGGAACTTATTTATTTACTCTCTTTTACTGATAACTAAATGGTTTCTGACAACATTCTCAAAGTATCAGTCATGAAAATCAGGGCTGGTTCAAAAGATTTCTCTGTATAAATCTTTTGTCTGTTTTCTGGAAGTAAGACTATGATAAGACTTGCTCCAAAGTAAGTGTGAATTGAGTTACAGCCATAGAAAAGATTTGGGGAAGTAAAGGAAATTAGTGAAGGTGCATACAGGAATGACTTATTTAAATCCCTTTTTTGTATAGCTGGTAAAGGCCAATGCAAATAACCCATTTAATTCAACCCTAAGTTACACTAAAGAGGGATATGTGAACTCATCATCATAAAGCAAATATACATGCCTCTATAATGGGGGGGGCAATCTTCCTCTGGTATGGTTGCTGAAATAGGTGGCATAATTTTTTGCCATTCCAAGATGGGAAGAGTAAAAATATTTAGCATAAGCTTCAAATTCAAATTAGCCCCATTTTTAAAAAAATATGCTTGTGCACACACTCCCCTGGAAAAAAAATAACATCCCCTTTGCATTCTTGATCTGTTTACTAGGCCTATGCTCACCCAAAAATATTAAGCACAGGTTCCATTCATATAAACATGGATGAGAAGCATTATATTGGTTTGCAACCGTTATATTACTATGATAAAGTACTGCATAGTTTGCAATACTAACTTCATTTTTAGATCCATTAGGATTTTATACAAAGTTATGAAAAAAAAAACCCTCAGGGTTCCATAAATGAAGTTATTTTTCATCCCAGATAAACAGCGTACATTTTATCTAACTGAGGAATTGTGCCACACCATATCAAATTGTACTATAATTCCTATCATATTGGGATCACATATGGTATTAAGTTATAATTTAGCAAACTCCTGACCCTTTGATAGAACCACTGTGTCAGTGGACTTAGTATAATCAGACTGTGATAGTTGTAATCAATAAACCTACCAAAGATTAACCATCCAAAGTTATTCTTTATGGTAAGCCCCAAATGGCTAAGTGTTGAAAGTTGTATAAAAATAATGAACTTCAGGACTTACATCACTCTGCAAGCCATAAGCCTGCTTGGCCCATTCTACCTTCATATCTGTGGGCAAGGCTGTATATCGGTGCATGATTGTCTTATATCCTCTATCAGTGGCCAAGTCTTGAGCTTTCTTGGCATGAACAAGATTTACCATATCCATGGAAACATGATATTGATTTTTTATGTCTTCAAATGCCTTTTTGTATTCCAGGTCACTCTGCAACTTGGATACATGGAGCAAGTGAATCATTTGTGAGTCTTGGCTCACATCTTGCACTCCAATCAACTTTCCTTTAGTCTTCTCATAATTTTCCTTGTATTTTATCTGTTGATAAAAATAACAGATTATGCCAGTAAAGAGAATGGAATAGTCTACTGATTATTAACTGTGGAATCAGACCCAGGTAACCTTCCTTATAAATGTATGTCCTGTATTCTGGTTCTTGCTTATCAGATATAATTTATTGATTAGCAAAAAGCTTAAACAAAGATGCGTGCATTTATTTTAGTTTTAATCATTCCTAAGGGAACATATTTTCAAATCAATACTCACATTACTTGCTAGGTCCCTCTTTGCCTTGGCTGTCAGGAATGGTATAGCATCAAGATGAAGTTCAAATCCTTTTTCTTTCTGCCTTTCCCAGCTACTCTTGTAGATTTTCTAAAAATGTTAATACTACAATTATTTTGCTTGCTGTCATGAATCACAGGCATCATAATAGCACCAAGTAGCTCCAAAAGGAATCAGATTTGTATTGGTTTACCAGTTATTCAAATGCATTTCAAGTTCCTATTGTTAATCCAGTTCGTTGGTTTCCCTATTGGTCAAATTAAGAAGATCCTTATGAAAGGTGTCAATATTAGCAACATAGGAAGAATCTAAATGCTTTAAATTTCAGCTTCCATTATTCCCAACATTGGTGATGCTGAATGGGGCAATTGGGAATTGTAACCCAAAACAGTAAAAAGACCTTGTCAATAAATACTAGACACTAGTTGTCTGACAACAACTAGCTAACATTGTCTAAACAGAGACTCAAAATCCACACTAAATTAAAATTCACAAAATTCTTGGGAGATATTAATTCTTATTTTATATACCAGTAAATATATATTATATTTAAATGTATAGATACCCACATTGGTTGTGCATCTTTCTAAAATATTTTGGTAGAAATGTTTCAGAACTTGCACAAACACAGCAACTCTCTACTATTACTTAAAACGTAAGCTACTTTTCAGGCTTTCTCCATAAACTCCATACAAAATGGCATTCAAATCTCAACATACCTCACTAATATTTGCAGCATTTATTCTGGCCTGTATGAATAGAGGCTCATCTTTGCTAATGGTGTAGTTGTGAAGAAAATCCTCTTTTGCTGACTTGTATGCAATCTGTTTACAAAAGCAGACCAAATCATTACATCCAGAGGCATAAGGTACAACAAGAAGTGTCTAAGCTATTACAAATATATCATCATGCCTCATGCTAGGTCTAACCTTTAGCCCAGTATGCTGACATTAGTTGACAGGCTACAGTGGTTCAGGTAGACAGAACAGAGTTTTTCATACTCTAGCATGAAATGTTGGATAACAAACAGGAGATTTTCCATAAATTTTTCTATAAATTAATACGCCAGTCCCCTATATAGTAGGAAAGGGATAAAGGCAAAGGGGAGGGAAGAAGGGAGGGGAGAGGGGGAGAGGGGAGGGGAGGGGAGGGGAGGAGAGGAGAGGAGAGCAGAGGAGAGGAAAGGAAAGGAAAGGAAAGGAAAGGAAAGGAAAGGAAAGGAAAG